TCATTAACCCAACATTCGATTAAACTGAATAATGTTCACCGGTTGAAAGATAGTTAATAGATAAGTCATTTTTCTCAGATATAACTTATTGAGAGCAAGTTTGCTTGTATTTATCAAAAAAATCAAATAGTGTTGTTTCAAGAACGATTTGTTTAATTTTCTACAGTTCGTCCATATCGTTTTATTTCTTCAGATGAAGTATATTGCATCTCTTAAAAAGTACAATCAAACCTGTTATTTATGCTAAACTTCTATCCTATGTTTTAGTAGAGATCAAGTTTAGGTTTATATCACCGTTCGCAGAGAAATGTTAGATTTGTCTAAAAAGACTGGGTGAGAAAATTCAAGATTTAGAGTTTAGTGATCGAATGTTGGGTTAATGACCTTTTTCATGCTATATATAGAAATTCCAGATATTAAGAATTATAATCAATTGTAAAAGATAATGAAAACTGTTCAATGTTTTTCTTCAGGTATAATATATTTATTAGAATATTTCACCAAAGCAATATACCATAAATAAATATCATAAGTATCATAAATAGATCTTGTTTGATTTGTATAGTATTGAATAAATCTTTACAGGACATTGACTCGATCACTAATGCATAATTATTTCAAACATAGTTAATATTAAAGTTACTGCGATCTAATTAAGTATTTATCATGAAACAAATCACTTGATCCTTCTTGACTATCCAAATCAATGGTAGCAGCAAACATTAATTTGTTTACCTAACAAATTATTTAAATAATACGTCAGACTTTCGAGGTTGATCGTATTCTGCCCAGTGAAACATGAAAGCTTAAAAAACTTATGTTTGTTTCTTCAAAATTTTTCAGTCGTTATGGATCATTTACAAACATTCAAGCTCTTTTAAGCTTTCCAATGGATGCATATAAGTGTACGACAATAGTACTTGTAAAATAGTGCATGTCACAAACACTTGTAGAAAAACACAACTATTTATGTTGTTAACCGTAACATGTTAAGTGCAACATGTCAGAAGCTTATTCTTACAGACACTCGAATGCGATACTCTTGTGTATCCATGTATAAAAAATATAATTTACGTGTGAATGTTAAAGTATCTTGCTGAGTGTATTTATAAGTGAGGAAGAGCCTTGCTAAATTCCACATGTCAAAACAAAAAATACTTTATATTTACAAGACTTTTACTAAAATGATTTTATATCAGCATGTAAGCTTTTGCTACGTTATAGTGCGTATGTTACTATACGTCAGGGTTTTGTCTTTTGGTCCTATGTGTAATTATGTATTGTGACATTTAAAATGAATTTTTCAATAGGCATGGTATATTGGCTCAAAAAAATTCTCCAACACCTATAAATAATCATATAGTCGTATAACTTATCATTATTAAATGATTATCATATCCTCCAGTTTGGCTTCACTACAAGTTTCAATTATAGCCCGTTGGATCAGTTTCAGATTCTAAGGAGTCTGAAATTTTTGGACTCGACTGACTGCAATGTACGCAGGTGATCGAGTGATGAAAAAGTTCGTCTTGTAAAACAAAGTAAATATGTTGGAGTCTTAGATTATGGAAAAATTAAAATATGTTCATGCATGTTCATATATGCTTACTATTTGTACTTCGTTTATAAATGTTCTCGCATTTTTTTTGCATAAAGAAATATAAAGCGTGTATATGTGAAAAGTTTTGTCTGTGTAAATACAAATATAGTTCACTTTGTGACATGTCTGCATGTATGTTATATGAAAGTGAATCCTACAGTTACATGTATTTTTGAAGTTGTCACATTTCATTGAGTGGTCAGGATAATATATACTTCTTAAATATTGATTCGAACAATTCTAAAAATAATTTTTCAAAATATTATAAAACTTTATAACTTTTAGAAGATGAAAATATTTGTTGAGTAGTTAAATAATTAGAAATTATTACATTTGTGAAAAAATAATTTTTCTTGATTTCTTTACTAGGGTATTTTTACATTTTTAATTTGTATTCGATATTTTTTTCATAACAATGTTGTTAAAAAAGAAGACATTATTTCAGAGCTATTTTTGCCATAGCCCAATATTATTTTTTTTCTTTAAGAATTATGAAAATATACAATATGGAGATATTTTTATACGTAAACAAAGAAAAAAAAATAATGCTGAGTGCATAATAGATCAACTAAAACACAAATGGTTTCTAAATGATATTACACATATATACAAAACATAATCTTTAAAAAAAAAAGATTCAATAATGTTTATAATGGCTTTGTAGCCGATTGATTCTTGACAACGCCTTTTAGTAGGCTAAGTGACGGTTGAAAAGCTTCTATATGAGTTTGAGAAGATGGATGCCCACATTGACCCAAATAATCCTCGACTTTATCCATAAACGTAGCAGAACCGCATAGATAAACATGTGTTTTAGCTGTTACTGTTTTCGCAATAATATCTTGTAAGAGACGCTTACCTTGAAGAAGTACATGATATTGATTTTTCGGCAAAATTTTACGCATTTGATCAGCAAAAACAGTTTGATCTTCTGTTGGTACACAATGAATTAATGTCATAAGATCTGATTTACCTTGTTTATGTAAATCTAATATCATTGATGAAAAAACAGTAATACCAATACCACCAGCAATAAATAAATGATGTTTTGCATCTGTTATTAAACCATAAGTACCAGCTGGTAAACTTAATGATAAAGTATCACCTTCTTTATATTTTTCGATAAGTTCAGTTGAAACAATTCCTTTTGGTTCATGATCGTTTTCTTGTTTAATAGCAAAACGATATGTTTTACCATTAAATGGTTCAATCAAACTATAATGTCTCATATGATAAAGACCATCTTTTTTAACACGAAGTGTTATATATTGTCCTGAATGATAATCATGCAATTTTCCACCATCACGACGTTCCAATGTAAAAGCAGTAATTGGTCCATTTGCGATTGTTTCTTTTTTCGTAATTGTAAATGGAATAAAGCCATGCTCACTTTTATCACCAAGTTCATTGTATAATTGTTTTTCTATATTAATGAAAATAGTTGCAATTATATTGTAAGCAGCTGACCATGCACCTAAAATGCTTGGATCCCCCATACCACCTAAGAATTCATCGATTGCTACAAGTAAATATTTGCCAATGATAGGATAGTGTTCTGGTAGAACAGAAGAAGCACGATGTTTATGAGCGATGAGTAAAACTTGAGGTAAAAGTACATCCAAATGATCAATATTTTCAATGGCAAGATAAATTGTATTTGCCAATGCAAATGGTTGTGTACCATTTTTTTGATTTGTTCGATTGAACATATTCAATAGTTCAGGATGAGCTGCAAACATATGTTTATAGATAATTGATGTAATTTCTTTTCCATTTTCTTTAAAAATGGGTGCTGTTGTTTTAAGAATTTGTTTTTGATCTTTGCTAAGTGACATTTTGTAAACTAAGAATAAAAAATAATAAAATAATTAATTAATATAACGATTAAAATAGATATGTTTAATATTTTATTTTATATATATATCAATTTTGTTATTTTGAAAAGTTAAAATTTGAATTAAAAAAGTATATAAACACCTGGTAGTCTCATAGTTTGATACATAAATAGAAATGAACACACAGTCAACTGTCACACACTATCAGAGAAATAACAGGTTACAATCGAAGAAAAATGGAAGAATAAAAAAGAAAGCTCAATATAAAGCACTGATTTATTGATTAAGAGGATTAGTCTGGTTAAATATATTTATAATCTTGGCAATATTTTTTTTTCGATATCGCTATGATTTATTCTAAGTTTGTCGAATAATTCTGAATTTAGACATTTTTTTATTCTCCTTCGAAGAAGTGCCGAACACAAAAAAAAGTAAAAGATAATTCGTCAAAGCTAAAACAAATCGGCACGATTTAGAAAAAAAGGCAGGAAAATCAGAACCAGAGGCGTCTTTATCTAAATAAGAATGTTTTAATCTATTAATGGGCTTATTTTCTAGACTTAGAAATCTTGTTTGTTTTTCTTCGCTATTTAAATCTGTAAATATTCGTATCTTTTTGTTTTACTTGATAGTCTAAGAAAATCTTACTTATCCAAATATTTACACTAGGAGATCAGACAAATCTCATATTACCGATAATAATTGTCGCATCTATTTTCTACGAGAATTATTCTTAACATGTTTTAATACATATGCACCTTATATAAGGCATTGATGTTTTCCTATTCTTTCTATAATGTATTATAACTCGAAATTAGATTATGTACATAAGAATAACATCAAAATATAAACGACAAAGTATGCATTGATTTAAAACGTTCTTTAAAAAAAACTATGAACAAACTGCTTACAAAACAAATACGAATAATTTTTATCACAGTTTTTTGTCATATATTTTTAATCACTCACATAATTTTTTTTAGTCTGATTTTGAGGAGACTCCCGCTTTTCGGCATCGTTGAAGATAAGTTCATCTGAAAACTTTGAAACTTGCACAATAGATAGATCTCGATCGATAGAACAGAAGTTATGATAGACTGAAAATTCCTAAATACTTCTGTCTAGGACATACTGAGATCGCAAAAACTAAAAGTTACCCTGACCCTATAATTGTCTTGCGTTTCCTACTGCAATACGATCTCGTTTCATTCAAATTAAACAATCGAAAATACTAATCGTAGCTCGAAAAGTGCGTTTTTTTAGCTGGAGTTTTCTTTGGAAAACTCTGACAAAAACATGCGGTTTATTATATTTAGAAACAAAAAAAAACCCTGGACACCATAAACACTTTCTAGTAAAAATAGAAAACAACCTTCAGGTCGATTGGATGTGCTGTGACTAAGAAACATGTGTGATTCTGAACTTTTTTTCCTGTCAAAAACATTCATTTTTTGAAAACAGCGAAATAATATGTAAACTTTGATGATTTTCAGTATAAACCATACATATTTTCCAGCTTTCCTATATATTAACTCTTGACATATATCCAGTAGGTAGAGTATACTTCAAAGTGTATATTCAATAGAAAAACACACCAATCAAAAATCTAAAATTTTCGATCAGGAAAGAGATGGTTCACCGTTCACTTAAAAATGATTTATCGTTCTATTAATAAAGTCAAATTCTGGAAAAAAACATAGGTTTTTTCTCTAATAAAATACTAAGAATAGAATTACAATTAACAGGTTATCAAAGAAAATAGTCTTGTTTTTTTTTTCAACCATTTACTATTACTATATAAATGTTCAGGATTACTTTCACCTCATAACTTACAAGTTTATTTGACCTGAAGTTTTCTTAATTGGCGTAAATTTGAAGTAATATAAAAGTTGTTTTTTTTTTTTTTTTTTTTGATAGTAGAAAATACGAGACTACTTAAGAGTGCAATATAAAACTGAAAATGAATTAAGAAGGATGCAATAGAAAGAAAAAAAGAAAGAAAGAAAGAAGAAACGTCAGATCGAGAGAAGAGGAAAAGTAAACTAAGCAAGCAACAATGCACTTTTCATAGAACGTGAGTAAGAGATGACAAGCTAGTCAAGCTTATCTAATAAAAAAAAACTGAATATTAAGATATGCTTTTTACTTCCTCTGTCGATTCACCTACGATATTAATTAAGATCTACACTAAACGAAGAAATGACAAATACTATTCATCAACAGAATGATTAATATTCTCTTCGGTCTGACTCAAAGCTTAAACTACTCACGTCAACTTCATACATTTTTGTAAATGAGATTATCAAAAAAAAAATTAACTTCTAAAACATCGAATGTTTATCTACGTCATATGTTACATTGATCATTGTATTCACATAGATGAAAAAATTTTTACGTTTCAGAGAATCATGAATATGAACCAGGAGCGGATTAATAATGAACAGTGAACCCAATAGCCATCTTATGAATCTTCATATTTATCTTAAATTATGAGTATCTTTCAATTTCCTTTTCTTAGTTCGAAACCAAACGAATGGAAGAATGAATTGATCGGAATTTTCTTTTTCCATTTCATTTGTAATCAATACTCAATGGTGGCAATAGAATATTTTTTCTATAAAACAGCATTACTTCTGTCAATATCTTCGAAGCAGAATTTTCAACAGAATGACAAAAATGCAGGAAATAGGAATATTAACATTGCCATTAAATTAAACTAATGCATCAAAATTTGTTTTTTTTTTTTTCTAAGAAGAAATGCTCATCAAAACAGAAATAGTAAATAGATATCCTTTTCTTCTTCACGAATGCAGTCAAGGAAAAGAAAAAAAAATCTATTTTCATTTAATTAATTCATGTATGCTAGAAGTAATCTATCTTAGCTAGTGACGACACTGTTAGTAAACTTTGTCAATCTAAAAAGTTAATTGAGTTAATCCTAGAATTCTTTTAAACTATTGATATTTTTAAAATTGTGCTCGTAATTACACTGATATTTAAATTTAAAATCTTTTCAAAGAGAAATTTTGCTAATATGAACTATGACAAATATTGAATAGGAAATTCAATGAATGACAGTCGTCTATGTCATTAAACAACTTTACTATAGAGAACGTGAGTGTAAAATTTGGAATAAATGTTAAGTATGATCTAAATATGGTCACAAGATTACTATACATAATTTATTTCTTTATTTAGCAATCTTGTGGAAAAAATTGTTTTCACATTAAAATTACTAAGATAATCTAGTGAATTGTTACGATGAAGTAAGCGACGTATTAAATCTATAAACTATTTATACTTGAGAACTGTCAATTTTTATGAAGAAATTTTTATATAGACATATGTGTGACCAACTTGAGGAGTAGCTCTATCGCTACACTTGGCAATAATATTTATTGAACTACTTTATTAATTTAGTTATATCTATGTATCACTATGAATCTACTTTTATATATAAAAGTCATACAAGGGAATAGAAAGAGAAACATATAACGTCAAGGTAAACATTATAAATAAGAATTCAAATAGGAAAGTGAAGTGTAACGGTCATTTACCGTTACATTATATAGTTTAGTTTTTGAAAAAAGAAATTTCTCATGATTCAATATTTTGAGTACAGAAGCATTTAATCTTGTCAAAACATTTGCAAAATTGTCTATTTTCTATTTATATTGCACGACATTTTTCAATTAAGAAAAAGAAAAAGAAATACTTCTATCTATTCTAATGCTGAAAACATTCCTAGGTCAAACTAACTTACCCGAAAAGAGAACTTCTATCAACACTGCGAATTCTATATTTATACGCTATCATCAGTAAAGAAGATTATAAAAATTTTTTTTTGTTTCAACAGCTGCAAAAATCTCAAAATATTATATTAACTATTTTTATATAACAATCAGAACTAAGGACAAGGTGAGATTTTCATAATCACATATATAAAATGGAATCGGTTTTTGATCATTGTAATTTATTTTCTGATACTTTCTCCATTAATATAGATTACAGACAAATAAGCATACATATTTATATACTGCTGGTTTAAATAATACAAATGCCACTTTTAATAACATATAACATAACACAATAAGACAACAGATAAATATTAAGAAATCGTCTTTAGATTACTATCCGATATGAAATTTATAAAGACTTGATTGTCGGTTGATTTTTGACGGCATTTTTAATCATACTGAATAATGGTTGAAATGCATTCATATGAATATGTGATGATGGAAAATTACAGGCTTCTAAATGATCTTCAACTGTATTAATAAATGATACGGTACCACATAAGTATACATGTGTTTCAGGGGTCACAACTTTCTTAATAAGATCTTTTAAAACATTTCTACCTTGATAAAGTAAATGAAATTGTTTTTCTGGAACACAAATTCGCATTCGATCAATATAAGCAGCATGATTTCTTCCTGGCACACAATGAATTAATGTCACAGAATGTGATTTATCTTGTTTATATAAATCTTCAATCATTGCTGACAAAACAGTAATACCAATGCCACCAGCAATAAATAAATGATGTTTTACATCATTGACAACAGCAAATGTACCTGCTGGTAAACTTGCTAAGATTGTATTACCTTCATTGTAGTTTTCAATAAGTTCATTAGTAAAAATACCTTTTGGTTCACAATTATTTAATTGTTTAATACCAACACAATATGTTTTACCATCAAATGGTCGAACAAGACCATAATGTCGATTATGATAAAAACCATCTTTTTTAATACGAAGTGTTATATATTGTCCTGGATGATAATTGTGCAGTTTTCCACCATCACTTCGTTTTATTTTAAAAGAATAGATCGGTCCATGTGCAATTTTTTCTTTTTTAACAATAGTAAATGGAATAAAGTCTTTATCATTTTCCTTATTGCCAAGTTCATCATACAATTTCTTTTCTATATCGATAAAAATGTCAGCGATAACTGTGTAAGCAGCTGACCATGCATCTAAAATCTCTGGTGTTGCTTTATCATCTAGAAATTTTGAAATAGCTTGAAGCATGTACTTGCCAACAATCGGATAATGTTCTGATTGAACCGTGAGAGCACGATGTTTGTGTGCAATAGTGTATATGTCAGGCATAAGTACTTCTAATCGATCGATATTTTCAGCAGCGAAATAAATTATATTCGCTAAGGCAAAGGATTGTGTGCCAGTTTTTTGATTAGTTTGATTAAATAAATTTAATAATTCTGGATGAGCTTCAAAAAGATGTTTGTAAAATATTGATGTTATTTCTTTTCCATTTTCTTTTAAAATTGATGCTGTAGATTTAATAATCTTTTTTTGATCTTCTGTTATGGACATTTTAAATCTAAACAATAAAAAAAAACTTACCAGTTTTATTTAACTTTTTTTAAACTTGCTAAAATGTTATCAATAGTAATATAAAACAAGTAGAAATCAATTTTCATTTTCTTCAAAATTTTGAATAGGATAAATAGGAACATGAAGAATGAAAAGAAAAGTTAATGATAGGTACGACATAGCAGCAACTCATTTGCCTTATTATTCTTGTAGGAATATCAAATAAACAAGTAGAGTGAGATGGGGTAAATGTAGAAGAAAAATCTAGGGTGTTTTGTATAATGCTTATATCTTTTTTATTTTTCAATATTTTAAACAATTTTCTTCACAAACTATGTAGAAAAATGTCTCCTCTATCTATCTATGAAATCAGTTTTGAAAAATCTTGCAGTATAA